ATGCTGAAATATATAATATACAATACACAATACAATTCTGTAATTTTTCCCGCATAAGTTGAAGATAATGATGAGGTTGGAGCCTCTTCAGTCGCAGCTTTACCATGGCAGACTAGGAAGAGAGAGAAGCAATTATTCTTCTCACAATTAAACTAGTTTTTGCTTTATTATTTGTAATATATTTTTATATTTTATATTAACTAATTTACTTAATAATTTGAGTAAACTTTGAGGGGGCATCTACCTGTTATTATTAAGGAGATGGAGGGTTAATATGGTAATTTTTTTTTTGCAGTTAGTTTGCTCTGCTGTTTATACTTGAAGGACCGTATACATACAGACACAAAATATAATTAACTTTCTTTCGCAACATATTATACATATTTTTTTATTAGTGTTTATCCATCTATCTAAATAGAAAATAATATTTACATAAGTAAAAATATATGATGTATATGATAAATAAAAATTAGAAAATATTTTTGTATACTAAATAGAATTTATAGTTTATTTTTTTGTACAGCGAATATACATAGGAAAATCCTCTTGGAAAACAGCCTCATTTTTTGATAGAATAAGAGACCTTTAATTTTATGTATATGATTGTTTGTTTTTTTTCTCTCAGACCATGTATTTTTTATTCTGGTGCTCCTTATAGTATGCAATCTGGCTTGTTGTAGAAGTAACTTAAAAGATATTTTCACTTGGAAATTTGCTAGATGCCCATCGACAAAGGATAGTCAATTGGATCAACGCCACAGGTGGTACCTCCTCAGCTTTTGATGTCACCACAAAGGTATCTTCTGGACTGAAGCTGGCGTACCCCTTCTTAGTTTATCCAGGGCAAAACATTTATGGATTCTAAATAAGCAAATTAACTCTTTGTTTAGCACATCAAAATATTTTCTGACTTTTATTCGACATTCATAAATGTTTATATAAGAGATATTAAAAGTGAAAATAAATCTTTGAAAATAATATGGCATAGTTTCAAAAGAATAAGAAATTGCTTTGGTGAGAGACCCGTATCCTATCTCCATTATCATCTTTCCCAACATTGTTTTTATTTTTAACAACTTTGTCCATATTGTGAAAACTATTATTTAAATTTAGAAAATTATTTGCATGTGTTAAGCATAGCCTTGAGTTTTGCAATCAAAATATACTGAATGTATTTGAAAATTGTTAAGGAATTGTTTTGCAGGGAATCCTCCACTCTGCTTTGCATAACCAATATTGGAGGTTGATCGATCCTCAAGGGAAACCAACAGGAGTAATGGGATGGTGGCCTTCACGGGCTGTTACTTTTTTAGAAAACCATGACACGGGATCAACACAGGTTTCTCTCTCTCTCTCTCTCTCACAGATACAGATATATAACACTCAAGGATCAGTTCTATGGATTACTTGTTTTTATACAAGAAAACACAACTTCTCCTGAGAATAATAACTTTCATAGTTATATTCTAGAAACTATCTTCACATTTATATCTCACATTCTATAAACTATCATTATACTTATCTTAATAACTAATTATTTGTTAAATAAAACTAGATTACTAAATACAATAATAACAATTCTGTTCTATCAGCCATGTACCAATCACATTCAATTGCTTGTAGCTCATAATATTATACTATTCATATTTAAAACAGGCATTGAATTCTCACTACGGAAAATTCAAGGAGGGGTTTAGAATAGTTTAAATAAAGAAATTATGCTTTAATTATAAGTAATAAGATTATATGAGTTCGAACTAGGAATTAGCTGATACGGAGTAAAAATTGAACTAGAAAGGCCCTAAATATATGTATACCCACATATGAATATTATAATTAGCCTAGTAAGAACAAAATTGGGATGAGGAATTAATAAAAATAAAATAAGGGATATTATGTAAAGTAAAAAATTGATTTCAGATTATTTTTTTTTAACTGTGATAAATCAATTGCATTCCATCAAATATAATTATTCCAAATATGATAATTTATTTGGGAATGAATTCTACTCTGCAGATAACTTCTATTCTCTTGCTGATTTGTTCCAAACCAAGTGCTGACCTTCATATAACCATTGTTTACAACTACAAAATTTTTAACTTGAGATGTTAGGTAAAGAAAGTTATTGTTGTAAAATATCTTGTACATAGCCTTTTTATTGGTTAGAACCCAGAGCTTTTCAACTCCAGCTGAGGAGAATTCTGCAAAATGAGCCAAAGGGTTCTGGTAGACAACAATATCCTTTTAGTTACTTGGGTGATAATTATTTTTAGTTTCTGCTCAAGTTCCGAAACCCAATCACACTTCATATCTGAAGATGTAATATGCTTTTATGTTTAAATTTGAATGGCTATTGACAAACTAGAGGAACTTGTCAACTGTTCTTCT